TGAGCTTGCTTTGCTTTGCTTGACTGGTCTTGTGACCCCTTGTTCTCCCCCACTTTGCCTATGGGGGTGTGTCAGATTTATATGACATAGCTACTGTAGGCTATAGTGGGGTAGCACATATGGGGTACAGTTTTCTAGGGTTTACATTTGTACCCAACTTTCCCTTAGTCATTCATTCTCGTTCTATTCTAGATTCTAACAGGTCGGCTACGTGGACGCCGACGACGCCGGTGACAAGCAGAGCCGGACGAGCACAGGCGGCTACGTGTTCGTCTACGGAGGGGCCGCAGTCTCCTGGTCGAGCCAGCGCATCAAGTGCGCGACGCTGTCATCGACCGAGTCGGAGTATGTGGCGGTCACTGAAGCCGGCAAGGAGGGACGCCGCCTTCGCTTCCTCCTTACAGAGTTCCGGCAGCTGGACGCCGGGAAGCCGACTGTCCTGCGGGTGGACAACAAGTCGGCCATCACGGTCGCCGAGGGCATGGGGTTGACGGGCAACCTCAAGCACATGGAGCGACGACAGGCCTGGCTGCAACACATGGTGAAGCGCGGGAAGTTTTTGCTGAAGTACATCCCGACCGCTGAGCAGCCGGTCGACTTCCTGACGAAGGCGCTGCACTACCCGGCCTTCAACCGGTGCTCCGTTGCAATCGGCCAAGTGCGCCTGGCCAATGTGGGCGATGGCGACAACGACGTGCAGCAGTAGGTGCCATGCCCTCTTGCATGGCTCGTGCGGTGACCGGCGTGCTGTGTGTTGTGTGCACGCCGCTGAGCTTTTCTCCGAGCAGTGCTGCAGTGTGGGATGGGGGAGCCCAAGCGTGAACGCGGCAGGGGAGTGTCAACGGGAATGTTGTGTGGCCCCGTCCTCACTTGGGCGGAGCCGACCTTGTGGTCGGGCGTGCGAGGGATGCAGCCGACCAACAGCAGCAGGCATGGGGGCCACTGCAAGGGCGCCGAGCTGGAGGGCGCCTGGCTGGAGGGCGCCGAGCAGGAGGACGCCGTCCTGGACGCCTGGTCGACGTCCTGGACGCCTAGATGGCGTCTGGGGAGGCTTGACGCCGACCTGGGCGTCTGCACGGCGTCCCAGGAGGTTGGACGCCGACCTGGGCGTCTGCACGGCGTCCTGTGGGCCTGGACGCCGACCTGGACGTCTGGTTGGCGTCCTGGGAGGCTGGACGTCGCCCTGGACGTCTGCACGCTGGGCGCCGACCTGGGAGTTCGGACGGCGTCCTGGGCGTCTGGACGCCGGACTGGGGACGCCGGGCATGTGTGTGGCCGGCTACGGACTGAGCTGGTCGACCAGGCGCGGTTGCCCGGTCGACCGGGATACCCTGGCGACGTGCGCGAGTGTCGCCGGGGTGGAGTCTGCGAGGCCGACCTCGGGGGTGGTATCCCGAGGTCGACGTGGCTGGTGGGCGCAGTTGCTGGCGTGGAGTCTGCCAGGCGTCTGCGCTGTGCACGTGACAAGGAAGAGCACACCAACCAGCTGCACGCACATGCGAAGCAGATGCACCGTTGTTAAGCGGGTGCAACACTGTGCAGCCGACTTGCTGCAGCGTTGGCATGCCATGGACTTGCAACGTTGGCGCACCGCTACTCTACAACGCTGGAGCGGTGCGAGCGCTGCTGCGCTGGAGCGCGGTCAACCATGCTGCGCTGGAGGTCGACCAGCAGCCTAGCTAGCTCTGATGTAGTCTGTGTTGCCAATGTTGTTGCTAATCATTGTTCTGGACTTTTCCTAGTGAAACTCTTGCCAACTTTCCCGTGAACTAGCAAGTGTGTGCGCTTAAGGAAACGACTAAGGAACGAACGAACGCAGAGATCACACGAGCACCCGTGCCTAGCCCGCAGCCTAGCTCCCGTTGCTAAAGTTATCTCCGCACCTTCTCCCCCTGAGTCAGCCCTCACTGCTTCCCTCTCTACTCCTGTCACTGACTACTACCGCACGTTCCGTCCTGTGCTCTCTCGTGTTCTCGCCTCTCTTGTTACCGACCCCCGTGCTTCTCTGTCCTCTGTCTCCGCTCTTACTGCCGCAGTCACTGAGTTTGCCTCTACTCGCCGCCTTGACTACGCCACTCGTCTTGTGGCTGCTCCTCCTACCAGTCCTCTGGCCGTCGGGGGTGAGTCTGCCCTTGGCTGTGACGCCCTAGAGGATAGGCAGTTTGAGCTGGAGTTCCTGGCAGCCGCTTCCCCTCATCTCTGTGCCATGTTGCTCGCCCCTGAAGGAGACCCCGACGCCCTTGACATACCGACTCCTCGCACTTATGCTGAGGCAGTGTCGGGGCCTTGGGCCTCTCAATGGAGAGCTGCCATGGACTCAGATATGGCCTCCTACAGATCCACAGGCACCTACGTCGACGAGGTTCTCCCCCCTGGGGCGAACGTAGTCGATGGCATGTAGATCTTCAGGGTGAAGCGGCCACCGGGATCTCCTCCGGTCTTCAAGGCGCGCTATGTGGCTAGAGGTTTCAGTCAGCGCGAGGGAGTTGACTTCTTTCAGACCTTCGCGCCTACCCCGAAGATGACCACTCTTCAAGTGTTACTGCCCGTAGCACCACAGAGAGACCACGAGTTACACTCTCTCGACTTCTCTACTGCCTTCCTTCAGGGTAGCCTACACGAGGAGGTCTGGGTGCGTCGTCTCTCTGCCTTCACTAGCACTTTCCCTCCTGAGACCCAGTGGAGGCTGAGGCGACCGGTCTACGGTGTCCTTCAGGCCCCTCGTGAGTGGCACGACACCCTTCGCTCTACACTGTCTTACCTTGGTTTCCAGTCGTCTTCTGCCGACCCGTCGCTGTTCGTTCGCCGTGGCTCCACACCGTTCTTTGTACTGGTCTACGTCGACGACCTGGTTTTCGCCACTGCTGACAGGGTTGCTTTGGCTGACGTGAAGTCCGAACTGCAGAAGAGACACACGTGCACTGACCTTGGTGAGCTGCGCCACTACCTTGGCCTGCAGATCACCAGGGACAGAGTCGCTCGCACCATTACACTCTCACAGTCACACATAGTGCAGCAGGTCCTTCAGCGGTTCGAGCTTCAGCACTCCACAGTACAGCGCACACATCTTGCCGTTGACCACAGACTCACTGGTCCCTTTCCCGTTTGAGCCTAGTGGTCCTTACGCAGCTTGTGGGCTGCCTCATGTACCTGATGACTTGTACTCGCCCGGACCTCGCCTTCCCTCTCAGCATCCTTGCTCGCTTTGTTGCGCCAGGGAGACACCGTCCTGTTCACTGGACAGCATCTGTGAGGGTGGCGAAGTACCTAGCGACGACATCAGGCGTGGGGCTGGTTCTTGGAGGGCAGCAGTCTGTCGTACTTACTGGTCACTGTGACTCTTCTTACGCTGACGACGCTGAGACTCATCGGTCTACTCAGGAATACTGTTTCAGCCTGGGCTCTGGAGCTGTTTCGTGGAGGTCCACTCGTTCCTCTTCGGTCTCGACCTCTACCGCTGAGGCTGAGATCTACGCTGGAGCCATGGCTGCACAGGAGCTGCGTTGGTTGACCTTCTTGCTCACTGACCTTGGTGAGTGGCCGAGCTCTGCACCGACCTTGTTCACTGACAACAAGGCATCGATTCTCTTCTGTCGAGAGCCGCGGCTGGAGAGCAGATTGAAGCACATCAACGTCAGATACTTTCTTCTGCGAGAGTTGCAAAGGCGTGGACAGGCTCACTTCGACTTTGTGGAGTCTGAGGCCAACACTGCAGATATCTTCACCAAGGCCCTCCAGCCTTGTGACCATTAGAGGTGTTGTGTGCAGTTAGGTCTCGTTGACACAGGTTCTCGTCTTGCATAGACTGGGTTCTCTACTTACTTTGTTTGTATACTTTGCTTATACCTCTGTGAACTTTTGAACTGGTCATGTGGCCCTTTTGCTCGTGCTCAGACTGTGTGGTGACGTTGTGAAACACCCTGAGCTTTGTTTTTGTGTGACTGGTCTTGTGCCCATACGGTTTTTTTTTTTGCTTGACACCCCCCACTTAGGCTATGGGGGTGTGTCAAATGTTGTGGCCTTTAGTGATGTGTGTCATATGGGGTACAATAGTTAGGGTTAGGCTTATGTACCCCAACCAACGTTAGTGAAACCACAATTCAGTTCTTGACACTCCCATACTGCCTACAATTAGAATCTTAATTGTGGAGTACATTAAACATGTTAATTTATGGTCGATTTTGTAGAGTAGATTTTGTAGAGTAGATTAAACATGTTAATTGTTGCAAAATAGGACGTGGATGTAGTGTATTGCATTTCGCTTCAATAATCCACATGGGCTTCAGTTTCACGCCTGTCCAAATTTTAGCCGAGTGGACTCTTTTTGGACTCCATAGGACACTTTTAGGCCACTAAGAAAATGGTGAGTGTTTCAAGCGGTCGGTTCAGCTCGACCTTTACAACTCATAAGTACATGTTGTGAATGCCTTACAGCGCGTACTACTGTACTGGCTTGTGTAAGTGTCCACCTCGCGGGGACATTTCCATCGCACACGGCGATCTTTCAGATCTGCGATCCACAAGGCGGCGATGCCGCGCTGGCGTCACACATTTCTCCCGCGCATCCCGAATCGCCATCGCGTGGTTGGCGATCACCCGCCACACTGGGAAGAACCCCGTTGAGCCGAGCCTCCCGCCGCCGTGCTGCCCAAACCCTTTGGCCCACCACCAATCAGCTCGCCTCACCGCCACTGCGGTGACCCTAGGGTGTTGGAATCAGAAAGTTCGGTAACACACGTTTAGAAGAGATCCATTTTGATAGACAAGCGGTGTCAATACACGAGGTTGTGACTTTCTGCATTCCGCGTGTGTTGGTAGTATACTGGATCCGGAAGCTGGGGAAGGTCGCCTGTGTGATCATTGACCAGTTAGTGGTCACTGTCAGTCAGTAGTAGCTACTAGCTTCCGAGGTTCGAATCCGTCAGATTGGCTCACCTTTATGCCTTGAGGTCAATTCTCGTCCTAGTTGTTCACATTCCCCTGTTCCTGGGTCGAGTTCAATGGGCATCCCTGTGCCTCAGCGATCCGACGAGATGGCAACGATGCCAGCAGCGATCGCACCGACTCCACCTGCGCCTGCACCGTCCTCGCCGCACGACGGGCCTGCCGCCATGGGCGCTCTCGGCCTGCTTCGCCTCTTCTCCATCTGGCCGCCACAGCAGAAGGCGGCCCCGGCGTGCCCGTCCCAGGAACGGCACGACGCGCCGGCCCATTCCATGCATGCTGGCTCTCCAGGGTCGGAGGGTGCGGCGGCGGAAGAGAGGGAAGCCATGGAATCCGCCACGTCACTCGGAAGTAGGGAGGAGATGGGGCAAGGCATTTCGGGTGCCGTGGCGTGCACAGCGATGGCCACAGACGACAATGCGACCGCAGAGCCAGCAGCGCTCGGAGAACAATCGCTCGAGCAGCAGCCCGTGCAATCGCCGTCGCACGGCAGCGCGACTTGTTGCGCGGATCCCGCCGCGTGTGCCCCGTTGGAGCGCCCCTTCTCCCCCACGTGCGTGCTCGACCCGCCCGACTGGGCGACCGTGGCGGGCCTCGACAGCCTGCAGCTGCCGGCGCTGCAGCGACTCGCGTCGCACGGCGTCATTTGGAAGCACCCTGCGACGCCGGCCCTGCGACGATTCACGCTGCACTACGGCGGCGAGGTGGACGCGGACGGCAACTGCCTCTTCGCCGCGCTCAACCGCCTCGTACCGCATCCCGACGGCGCGGCGGGCCTGCGGCGGAGAGCGGTGCGGCGGTTTATGAAGGAGTACGAGGCGGGCGTTGTGGAGCGCGCGCGCGTGGACGCGGCGGTGCGGCACCTGTACGCGCCGGACGTGGGCGTGGGGTGGGGCGTGCACGTGGTGCAGGAGGTGAAGCTGCTGGCGCCTCGCGCGCAGCGCGCCGAGCTCATGGCGGCCGTGGGGCAGCTCGTTGACTGCGGCATGTCAAGGTGCGCCCGCCGCGCCACGCGCTTCGCCGGGTCGCGGAATTGCTAAGCGCTCACTTAACGTCACTAGGACGTTCAGTGGTTGGACACGGCCGGGAACTCCGGCCCGAGCCCACACCCATGCTATTCTAGAGAATTCCCTAAAATCCTCTTCCTTCTCCCCTCCCTCCCTTCCCGCATTCGCCCCACTCGTGCGCGCCCACCCCCTCTTTCCGCCGCCCCTCGCAGGAACCACGCGGTAGAGATGGTCGCGAGGGACCGCTGCCTGCCCGTCGACTGCGCGCGCCGCTGGGCGCACTACATGTCGCTCGGCGCGCCACTGCTGCCCGCCAGCGCAGCGGACTCCTCGGGGGAGTGCGCGGGGGTGGCGGAGTGGGAGGCGGAGCGCGAGGCGGCGGGCGGGCACGACGTGGTGTCGCTGCAGTACGCGCAGGACGGCCTGCTCTCCGCCTCCGCCTCCTGGGACTTTCCGCCACCCGCCCTCTGCGCGGAGCGGGACGCGGGTGCGCTGGAAGCGGCGGCGGGCGGGGGTGGCGGAATGGCGGCGTTTGGCGACGACATGGCGATCGAGATGCTGGCGACGGAGCTCGCCCGCGAGATCATCGTGGTAAGCCGCGCCGCCGCACCGCATCCCCGCTGCTCCCGCTGTTAAATGCGCGAGTAACGCCATCAATGTACTCTTGTATCGTCATCGTCAGCAAGTCCCGTCCCCTCCCCCGCCCCTCCCTCCCCTTTGGTGCGCGCAGGTGCAGGCGCACGGGCACGACGCGATGGTGGACGAGCAGTCGGCGCTCTTCTTCCTGCCGCACGCCCCCAGGGGCGCGCCGCTCTCCGTCGCGCACCCGCCGCTCTTCCTGCTCATGAAAGGCACAGGTGCGCGCACACGGGCCACGCGCGGGGTGACAGGCGCGGGTTGACAGAGGGGGGGGGTGTCGAGGCGAGGGGGTGGATAGTATGGACAGCAGTGCATGGGTGAATTAGGCGCGCAATGGGGTCATGCCAGGGTAACGACTTGTGGCATGGCAAGAGGGGTTGAGTGCAGTGCACAGGAACGAGCGCGTACCTGCCGCCAGGCCCCTCTTGCCGCCATGCTCTCACCCTCCACTACCTGCTCTCTCCCTCCTCCCCCACCCCACCCCTTCTCCCCCCTACCCCTCAACCCGTGCTCCCCGTGCAGCGTGGTGCGGGGCGGGTGGCGACCACTATGAGGCCATGGTGGCCGTGGACCAGGGCGAGGTGCCCAAAGGGGACGCGCAGGGGGCGTGCGGCGCCGTCGTGCTGTGATGGCCGCGTGCAGGGGCGCGAGGATGCGCGGCACGGGTGTGTGGTGTGGCGCTGCTGGACAGATGCGCACATGAGGTTGGAACTTGGAGGTCCACGCTTGCATGCACGCGTGTGCTGTGGTGTGCTGTGGTGTTGCTGGTGAAGCATGGGCGGCACATTGCTCTCGCGCTGCCATCAAGGCTGCTTCGCCCTGACTTTTGTAGGCATGATTGCTGGTTTGACGTGCTGCCACAGCCCAAGGCTGTTGGCCGCTCTAGTGATTGCTAAGGCATATAGCCTTGCACTACACTTGCTTACGCCCCACTCTCGCAAGATCCTTGGGGAAGAGTGCTTGCATGCAGGGTGTCGTGTCGTGTCTTTATCCTACTGTTGCCTGCTAGGAGTAGAGTCGGCACATTCCTCTAGTGCTGCCCCCTTGACTCGTTTTGTAGGGATGACATTCGATTTGCTGCCACAGCCAAAGGCTGTTGGCCGACTGAGTGCTCGCTTAGGACTGCGTTGCGCTATACTTGAAATAATAAATACCATGTTGATTGCAGGTTGCCAGCACGAGCACCTGCAGCTCAAGCAATGCTTGTACCCACCCAGGCCACGATTAGTGTAACAATTACAAAGTAACACAGGCCACCCTCCTACCAACCCACCCTTGCTCAATTGTCCCACCCAGAATTCCCTGTAAACAAAACAGCCAGCCCCGCCAAGAGCCACCCTCTAGTACCACCCGCCACCACCCTGCAGCGACAGCCATCCACGCCCGAGCGAGTCCAGGAAGCTAAAACGCGGGAACTGCGGGCGCCCCATGCGGTGCGAGAAGAAGAACCACCCGGCGCGTGCACGCGCATACGCTGCCAGCTGTGCGGACGCCAGCCCCGCCATGCCCGCATCGTCCACACTGTCATGCCCCTCCACCGCCAGCGACCACTCGCCCACCATCGCCACACGCTCACTCCCCGCCGGCTGCAGCAGCCCCAGCTCCTTCACCCGAGTCGTCAGCACAAAGCTCAGCACCGCCGACAGGTTACCTGCGGCACCGGCACCGCCCCAAGAGTCCCCAGTGGCAGCCGTGTTGGCAGCGGGGTCGGTGGCGGAGGGGTCGGTGGCGGCAGCAGCGGGAGTGGCGGTGGACTTGGGGGCGTCATGGAAAACATTATAGAAGTGCTCGTCGTGAATCACGTTCGTGAACTGCGCCTCGTCCGCCAAGAAGTCCAGCACCTCCGTCGCCTCCGCGCCCACGCGCGCGCTGATCGCCACGTACGCGCACTGCGAGTGCGAGCGCACGGCCGCGTACGCGCGCTCGTAGTAGTTCCCTAGAGTCTCCGCGGAGATGGCTTCTTCCAGCGGCTCGTTGAGCAGCGCGATGCCGGCGAAGGCGTCGGTGGCGGCGTAGCGCTGCGCGAACCAGTCGATGGCCTCCACCGTGCGGTCTATGTTCACCTGTGATGCTGCCCAGTCCGGGATGCCGTCCCGCGACGCTGAGTGCTCGTACCCATTCTGCGACCCCGGTGCCGCGTGCAGGGAGAGCATCACCCGCATGCCGTACCTGGCAGGCATGATGGGGTGGGAGATTGAGAGGGGGTCGAAAGAGATACATGCAAGGGTGGAAGTTGAGGTGCAAGGCGAGGCTGTTTGTGCGATGAGCATGGGAAGGATGGGAGACGAGGAAGGCTATGGGGGATAGAGAGAGCGGGTGGAGTGTAATGAACGCATGAAGCAAAGCGAAACACTTGCGATGTCGTCACCTTTCCTGGCACTAGTCCTTCACAGCCACTCAGCTCAACAATCATGAGCACTTGCTAGCACGGTGCAGGGCACTCACTTGGCGGCCATGTCAAAGGCCCAGTCCAGGTACTTGAGCCCGCCCTTGCTGAATGGGTACAGCGGGCCCCCCGCCCCCACGTCCCCCTCCGCCTTGCCCTCCTCCGCGATCCAGTACCCCACGGGCACGCGCACGGCGTTCACCCCCGCCTGCTGCAGCGCGCCAAAGTGCTCCTCCGTCACCCACGTGCTGCGGTGCTGCTCCAGCCGCTTCTCCACCTCGTCCGGCCCCCAGTGCCGCCCCATCTGCCACTCGCCACGCACCGCCGTGTTGTGCACGAGCAGGAACGCCACGCCCGTGGTCCACGCCCAGCTGCCCACCGCCGTGTTCACCTGCTCCGCCGGCACGGACGCCGTCACGCTGCCGTCGTCGTTCACGGAGAGGAAGCGGCCGTTGGGCGCCTGGATCATCACCCACCGCGCCTCCGCCCCGTGGAACACAAACCGAAACGTCTCCAGGCCTTCCCCGCCCGGGTTCGCCACGTCGCTGCGCACCTCCGCCATGCCCCCACCGCCTCCCGCTGGTGCCGCTGCTGAGGCGTTGGCGGGCGGGGAGGAGGAGTTGTGCAGCGACCAGAAGGAGAAGTCGAGGGAGCGCACCTCGTGCAGGTGGCGGTCGCCCAGGGTGAGCGTGCGCATGTGGAACGACGCCCAGTCCCCCGCCTGCATTCCCTTGGCCACCAGGCGGAACCCATTCGCCGGGTCCACATGGAGAAAGCTCCCCGTGTAGAGCGACTGCAGGGAGAACTGCAGGCCGTCGATGTACACGGGCACGCGGCGGAACAGGTCCGGGCGCAGCCACCCCTCCAGCACCAGCCAGCCAGGGAGGCCCACGCCGCGGAAGGCGGGCAGCTGCATGGCCTCGCGCACGGCAAAGGCCTCGGCGACGTCGCGGTTGCGCGAGCGCATGAGGATGCCGGATTCCTCCACCACTATGAACGACCCGTCGCTGCACTGTATGCGCGCCTTCTGCGGTATGCCCTCCACCTGGTGCCATGGCCGTGTGCGCGGGTAACATGCGCCGCGGGGCACGGTGGGGTGGGCGGACGGGGAGGGAAGGGGTCGGTGGGGAAGGGAGGCAGCGCGGCGTGGTTATGCACATGGGGACCCGAAGCAGAGAGACCACACGCACAAAGGCGCCTTCGCTATCCCCTCCCTCTTTCCCTTCCTCCCCCCCAAATGAGAGCACCATGAGCCCACGCACGCACCACTTCAATGGAGAGCAGCGAGGCGGGCGTGGCGGAGGCATCCAGCCCCGTGACGGTGAGCTCGCGCGCGCACGTCAGGTACGTGCCCTGGGGCGTGCGCAGGCGCACCGCACCGCTGCCGTGGGCCTGTGTGTCCTCGCGCTCCACGGTGTAGAACTCACTGGCGGGCGCGCCCTCGTGGTACGCTCCTGGCTCCGCCCACCGCCCCGCTGGCAGGCGCGGCCCCACCCACAGCCCGTTGGACGCCTGCAGCTGCACCTGCGCTCCGTGCTGCCGGGGGTAAGGGAGGGCCGGGCAGGACAGGGCAGGGCAGGGCAGGGCAGGGCAGGGCAGCAGGGGACGATAGGGGAGGGGAGGGTGTGTGCGCATTGGGTGCGTGAGGCGCGAGAGCAAGGCCAGTGGCACATGAACTAGGAGTCCAGGTTGTTGCACGTGCCAGCCACATCCCTGCTCTGCCCTCACTGGCAGCGCGCCTGCAGCGCCTGTGCTGTGCCCCATCGCCATCGCACCCCCATGTGCCCCTGCTCACTCACTTGCCTTGGCCTGCCGCGTTGACCCACCGTGTGCTCAGCGCAGCAACTTCCCACACAAACAAGAGGAGTGGCTTAGGATGAGCGAGCAGGAGGTGGGGAGAGGAAAGGGGGGGACGGGGCGGGGCGGGCGTACATGGAGGGCGGCGGACCACCAGACGGAGGGCATGGAGGCGGTGCTGCCCGCCACGGCAGGCGCGCGCGAGCTGCAGCACGGCCCCGCGCACGCGCCCTCTTCCCCCCCGCCTGCCCCCCCCGACCCGTCTGAGCTCGCCTGCTCCCCCCCGCCTCCCTCCCCCTCTGTGCCGTCGCCCCCCTGCGCGCTGCTCTGCTCCCCCCACTGCGACTGCGCGGGGGGCGCGGGAGCCGCCTGCGACACCGCGGGGTCCATGGGCGGAGGCGCGGACCTGACGGGGGCGCATGGTGGGGAGGGAAGGAGGGGTGGAAATTGAGGGGGAGGAGAGAGGATGGGAAGGAGAGCGTGGGGCAGCGGCAGGGAGTTGAGCGCAGTGCGGGCATGCAATGTGTGTGCGGACGAGTCCACCACGCAGTGGCGCATGCAATGCAGCGCGCGGGCGCGTTACGGCTGTGGCGGTGACGCGCGGCACACGCAAGAGCACGAGCACGGTGTGGCGCGGCTTACGCACTTGTTCATGGCGCCCGAGAGCCAGAGCACGAGCAGCAGCGAGCTGGACACGAGCAGCCCCACCAGCGCGCACGCCAGCACCACGCGCTCGCACGTCCAGAAGTGCTTGCCGCCGCGCATCGAGTAGTCGCGCAGCGTGCCCGCGTGCGACGGGCTGGGCTCGCCCACGGTGCCGGCGATGGGCATCGTCTCCTCCTCGCCCACCATCGACGACGACATTCCGCCTCCCCCGCCGCTCCCCCCGCCGAACAGCAGCCCGTTCAGGCGCGAGCTCGCGGGGCCCGTCAGCGAGTTGCCGAAGGCGGACCCCTCCCCCCCCAGGCTGCCCGCGCTGCTGCCCGCGTCGCTCTCCACACCGGAGATGCCGACGGCGCCGTGGCCCGGGCGGCCGAACCACACGGTCTTGCGGTCGCGCTCCTGGAAGCTGCCGGCGGAGCTGCTGCTGCCCGCGCGGCGCTTCGGCGGAATGCCGATGAGCAGCTCCGCCGCCGCCTCGTCGCCGCCCGCGGAGAAGCGCGACGAGCCGCCGCCGAAGGCGCCCGGGGAGGCGGAGGACGCGGGCGCCATGAGCGGCGACTGCTGCTGTAGCTCGTCCGTGTAGGAGCGCGACACGCCCCCCGACGTGCGCCGCGGCGTGGACCGGGCGGACCCGCCCGACGGCATGCTGGGGAGGGCTCGGCGCGCTGCACGGCGAGACTTGGGGAGACCGGTACGGTAAGGTTGGGATAGATAGTAGACGGAATAATCTCCGGAGTGCCACGTAAGCTGTCAAATTGATGTCCACTACAGAATGAGAAGCGAGCTGGTTGTGCGGTGGATGCACGAAGTGAAACAGTGTCGAACGTGGGGGTTGTTGGCTATAGGGCTGCGGGGTGAATGTAGGATGCTGGACGTACGCGCTCTAATGCTTGTGAAGAATCTTGTAATGTCATTGAGAAGCGATGGTACCACTCATTTGCCAAGATAAAAAATTCAGTGTCTGACCTTATGATGCATACTTTTTTGCCTCGCACAGCTTGTTTGGTTAGACTCAACAAATTACACCCTAGAGTTCAATCTCAATTGTTCTCACATTGCATTTCCTCTTCTACAAACCATTTCTTTTATAGTGGCCGTTTCTTAGGAACACTTTTGAGATTCTGAACGTAACATGCAAAAACGTTGGGGCAGCCAAACAAAAGGATGCATATCCATGGTCACACACGTCGAACTTGCACTCACACCACCCCCACCAACTTCTCCTGTCCCTCCCTTCCCCAACCTCTGCACTCAGAAAGAACACAACATCCAGAGCACGCTCACGTGCGCTGACACAAAAACTGCGTACGCTCATACAAACTGATTGCTACTGGTATTGGGCCACATTTCAGCTCACGCCGCCATCGGTGTGAGTTGGTACATAGACTCCCTTCCTTGATACAGCGAGTCTGACTTTAGAGAGGATATTTCAGCTGCTGCGCTGCTCCCCCACGCCCCACCACCAGCACCGCTCCCCCAGGCCTCACCCAGCTCCTCCCCCGCATGCGCCTCACAGGCGGGCTGCTGCCACTCGCCCGTGCCAGCGAAGCGCAGCCCGTACACAACACTGGAGGCGGCACCGGGCGCGGTAGTGCCTGGCATGTCAGGGGCGGGGATGATGATGTCAATGGACTCTATGGGGCGCCGGTCCAGCTCCATGTCCCGACACAGGCTCTCCACGCCTGGGACACACAAGGGGGGGGGGGGGGGGGGGGGGGGGGCAAAAATGGGTTGATTTCATCATTGTGTTGCCTCATGGTAGTGCACCGTTGATAAGTCCAACAATGAAGAAAACGGCATATGGAATCAAGCTTGGTGGGTTGTAAGGAATCCTGAGAATGTTTGTTTTTGTGGCAGGTGGCGTGACATTAAGGAACGTACCCTGCCAGTTGAGGCATGCACTGGGTGGCTCGGCTGCCGTGCTGCCCTCGTTGGAGCCCTCGTCTGACAGCTCCTGCTCCGCACTGTGACACCCCGCCTGTGACCCGCTGGACGCTACAGACGAACCACTGCGCGCATCCCCTTGAGCAGCAGCGGCGGTGGGAGGAGTGGGGGCAGCGGGCACGGCCGGGGGCATGAGTCGGTCCCACGTGCGTGGCTTGGCATCGGTGGTGACGTCAGCGGCAGGAGCCCCATAAGCAGGCTCTCCCGTTGCGGGAGGTGCGGGCGATGGCTGGGTGAGCTGCTGCAGCGACTGCAGCTTCTGCAGCAGTGCAGGCGGCAGGTTGCGACCCGCTGCGAGGACAAGGCAAGGGAGGACGCGGCACAGGGTGAAATGGGAACCGGAAGAGGTGCGAGGAGGAACAAGAGGGGGAGGAGTGGGAGATAAGGCGTGACAGGGAAGAGGCGGCTGAGTGCGTGGCGGATGCAGCAAACAGCAAGGGCTCTCGTGGAATGACGCATGCGTAAGGCGTCTATGCTACTTCCATACAGTAGCTCCCCAATACACACGCACTCAGTACTCACCTGCTGGTAGCCGCAGCGCAGAAGGCCCTCGTTGCGCCCCAGGCTGTGCCCCTCCGCCACGAGCCGTCAAACCCACTCGCCCGTACGCCACAGGCCCCGACCGCGCGATTGGCGCCGACAGGAAATCCGTGTCGCACGCCCCGCCGTCGCCGTCCGGGGAGGAGGCGTCGGGCGACATAGAGCTAGAAGACTCTCCGCCCGTCGCACGCGCGAACCCTCCGCCGCTGGAAGGAGCGGTCCCGCTGCTGCTGCTGGGCCGGCGCAAAGCCGCCACGTTGCGCGGCAGCGCTGCGGATTGAGGGGCTACCGCGGATGGGTACAGGCGCTGAAGCGGGTGAGGCTGCTGCCGTAGGTGCGGAAGCTGCTGCTGTAGCGGCGGTTTCGACGCCTGCTCTCTACCCATAGTACCCGATATAAGTCCAGCTTGCATCTCGAATTGCTCCATGGATCGTTGCCCGCCGCTCGACGACGTTCTGCGGGAGCCAACGAAACTGTTACTGCCTTTGCTGCTGATGGACGGAAAAAGCGGGACGTTTCCCGCGTTGCCTACGCCATCCGACGGGCTCCCCGCCTTGTTTCCGCTGCTGTTGCACCGATTCAGCGCGCGCGCCTCCGCCGCACTGACGCCGCCCATCGCCCCGTACTCGGGGAACGCTCCCCATTCGGCGCCGGGGCCCCCCTGGGCAAGCGGAGCGGCGAAGGTAGCGAGGCGTTGGGGCGGGGGGAAGGGCATGGAGTGGGTGAACAGCGCGGGGAGCTCGCCCGCATTCCACGCCGCCGCCCCCACCGGCCAAAGCGACTCTTCCGCCGCCGCTCCGCCAAGCCTCTCGTTTGCGGCATGCGGGTTGCGGTTCCCTCCCGAGCCTGGCCGACCGGCGTCGACGCCGCTAGTGATCCCGCGCACCCTGGCGCGCCTCTCCGCATTGGCCGCGCCGTCAGTCTTGGCGCGCAGCAGCTCCCCGCCCAGCCACTCGTCGTCCTCGGGCGCCTCCTCCAGCATGGCCAGGCGCGACAGCTCCTCACGCATCAGCTCGCCCGCACTCCTCTCCGCCTGCGCCGCGCCCGGACTTCTTCCCGAGCCGCCCGGAAACTGGTTGACGTCAGGGCCTCCGGGGCGCTGCGAGCCTGCGGCGCTGGGCGCGTCGCGGAACGTCGTGTAGCCGTCCATGCTCGCGCGGCGGTTCTGCTCGGAGAGCGCGGCCGACGGTGGCGACGTGTTGAAATCCAGCTTGATGTCGCCGTCGCTGATGCCGCCCGCGCTAGGCCTCGGCGGCACCGCTGACGACGTGGGAGCTGCCGATGGCCTGCCCCCGCCTTCCGCGGCGTGGTTCGCGGAGGCTGTTGTGTTGTCGCTTCGGCTGCGGGAAAAGGGAGCGCCTGAGAAGAAGAGGCGCGTTCTGCTGGAACGCCCTCGCGCGGTGTTGGGCGACGGAGGCGACATTATGTGGAATGTGCTATCGACGTGATGTGCGAGGTGGTCCCGCTGGTCGTGGTATGTTTAACGCAGAAAATGCGCACGGTAGATGGCGCACTCGGTAGCTTTGCCCCACGGAATGAGCAGACACAGGAACGTGAGCTGGGATAGGGGCGGACGAACGTGGTGTCGCTTGCGGACACGGAACAGAGAACGTACACCACCAGCTGAATAGAAAGCCACCTATACCGCACTGCAAGTTTCTTGAATTGAATGGAGAGGAGGAATCACAGGAGCAGACACAAGGGTTCAAGATGTGGATGTGGAATGTGGGTTGGGATGGGATAACGAAGGAGCAGCAGCAAGGAGAATGTGATGGCGTTGGATGGAGGGACCAGAAAAAACAGCGAGAACACTGGGCGGGCAGTCGTTGTGTAACCGGAAAAACGCCGCGTTTCTCTGATGGTTTCCACTGAATGCGGCGCCACTGCGCCAGTGTGTCGGGGACGCCAAGCCAAACATGAGAGAAAACTCAAGGGACACGCCAAGCCACACAACTCGATGGATGTGCAACAAGACAGCCACTGCATGGTTGCGCCAGACATGAAGATTTTGGATTCATCAGTTGTTATGCTGGTGCAGAAAGATTTTTTATTTCCTGTCACTTCAGTCAGACACATGCTCACTGTACTGTCCCTGAGTCTTGAAGTACTACAACACCCGTGTTCATCCACCTGGAGACCCATAATGAAGTGACAAGGGTACAATGGTATCCGTTTGATTATTTCGACATCAGCTTATGCATGAGATCTAGCATCGTTAGCCCGAAAGTCACAGGGTAAACATCTCACCAAAAGCACCTGAGTACCGAATAAAATACACTGGACCGCGGACAGTACATCGCAACTGCACAATGATATGAAGGCATCCAGCTGTGGCAGTTGCACAGGTTACGGTCGTTGGGTTCCAGGTGTGTCCCCAGAAGCAGAATTCATTGTTTCTGGATGTGCACATTTGGCGTCATCCCAACAGAAGATCAGCTCAAAATGCTTCTGTGCCTAATGCAGCAGAGGCTTGAGATGTTTAGGATCAGATGACTGTCTCTGGAAAATCGACAACATTTTCCAAATCGATTCGTGTAACGGGTGAATGGCGGCAATGCGATGTTTGCTTCCTGCCCAAATCACATAATCTCTGCTTCCAATCAGCAATAGGCACGCACCCCAGCCAGAATGGTCGTCAGCCACAAGAATGAAAATACACCTGTACTGACTGTACAGCTCTCACCATCTCGAATTAAGAGGAGCACTCGACCATGTCGTTTTGTAACGACTCTCACGTGCTTAGTGACGTGAAAAGAATTCCACAACAGACACAATCTCCAACTTGGCCTCCAAAACGAAGAACGAGGCTCGGCACAGGTAGGGGTCACAAAGTCTTGCAACACAGCGTAGCCTCGAGATCGAGGTTCAGACCAAACCTGGATTCCCAAAACAGTTGTACGCAATGTAGTACAGCTCCAGCAAGAAACTTTAAAATACCTTATACTACACCCACTACTAAGGAACGTGGTCCAAATCAGGCATGCAATTCCAGGATGAATATTCCCAACGAACAAAACATGATTGAAGCACGTCCAACGTGACACGTTCCATCTTTGTTACGAATAGTGAATTGTGAAAGGATTGTACACTCCTATCAGTAGCAAGCAAGGAAGACAATAAAAGGTACGAAGTCGAAGAGAGAGAGTGACGCGAAGAGTCGC